AGTTCCTATATTTGCTATGTTGTACAGAGGCTTTGGGAAGGGAAACCCTAGGGTAAAAATATAAGTCTTCTACCGTGTGCTAGGTAATATGGCTTTTCAAGTGACAGCTTTGAGAAGAGTTATTAAAAATAACTCTTAATCCATCGACATGCTCGCCTATAGGAATCTGCTTCTACCCACAGTATGATGATTGTCTGGAAGAGGAATGAAAGTCAGAGTAGTTGCGATTACAACCCATTACACATATGTAGCTTAATAGATTTATTTTGATATCCGCATTTTTCCGTTACTATTATGGGTGATATAAATGTGATGTCCACAACCATTCAAACTAATGGTATGATGTTGATGTGTATGACTTTTGGAAAGTTTATTGTTACCAAATTTCTCTTTGATTGTCTAACAAAAAATTATAATTCTACAAAATAACTTGTAAAGAAAGAAATATTTCAAGATCTAATATAATGCACCAAGCTTGAACAAATTGATAAGGAAATTATAAAAATCAGAATTCTATAAACATCTTTTATCCCCCTTATTAACGTGTGGTGCAGAGACTTTGTTTATAATGAACTGAACCATGGGGGCTGGTTTTCTTATCGCGGTTCCGGAAGAACCCGAAGAAAACAAAAGAAAAGGTAAACGAATCTTTTTCTTTACCTTAAGTTGCTGAATGTGAAAAACAACGAAACAATTATGTCTCCGTTTTAATTTGAGAAACTGGAGAGCAATAGGGAACCTAAGATCAATAAGATTGTATCGCATAACTAATTGTGGTAAAAGAAAGAATTTATTTAATTTTCTTATTAAGCATATTATGTCGTGTAACGAGAAATGAAAACTTGAATAAAGAAATAGATGATAGTAAGAAACTTTTAAATCCAAAAAAAGGAATATTTTTATATAAGATTAAATCCAGTCAATCTTATCATGTTTATAAAGAGTATACTCATTATAACACCGGCATTTTGCAATTCTCATAAAATTATCTAAATTGGAAGATGTGGCTCTGTGTTTAGAATTGCAAATATATTCTTCTATTCTTCTATTAATTTAGATTTCTCACATTTTATTTTTTATCGTTTTGTTTCATTTATTCATTAATATTTTGTCAACAATTTGTAGTTGAATATTTATTATCATTATTGACAGATGTACATATGACGAATTTTTTTCCAAACATTTTTAGAGCTAATAATATTTGAAGCATAAAGTATTTGATATGACGTGAGTCGTAAAGTGACTTTTATGTATCGTAAATGATTTACGATCATTTTTGCGTCAAAATTTTGTTTATGGGAAAGCACCGACAATATCATTTGTCTGTCGTCAATCCACTATGTTTACCAGCAACTTCCTTTTGTTTTTAATTGCTTGACTCAAGTCATATATATATACATTTTTGTTTTTAATAATGGTTTAATGAGATTTTAATATCATTTTCTTTAATAATAGTAATTATGTAATAAAATATTTATGATAAAAATGTATAACTAAAATCTTTGTTGTATATTTATAAATTTAAAAATTTAATAGTATTTAATTATAATTATTAATGAATACATGTTAAAAACGCTTATAGGTAATTTTAATTTAAAAATTCAAAGATTATTGGGAAATCTAAGGAAGTGCAAAATGTTCACCGATCATACTATATCCATTACCACACATAAATTATTTGATAGCTTCTTTTAACAATTTTAAAATAAATCACACGGATAAATACCAGATGCAATATATTAATTTAATGTAATTAAGTTACTAATTCATTTTTCTTTCTAAACTGTCCACTTAAGTTTTGTGTATATAATTTTTAAGTCTCTGTATTTTAATAATTTTTGATGGAACTAACTACTAGATTATGAATATACATATATAATTATATATTTTATATTATATTAACACAAGTGAAATGCTCTATGAAGATTCTCGAAATCATTGGTTTGAGTAAGAACTATGGATATTAAAACTGATTTTATAACAATTTAATAAGCAACAGCCATGCTGCCAGCTAACTGTAAGCAATCATACGAAGAGTAGCTAATTAAAATATCAGCATCATTCACTGAACTAATTCTGTCATACTTTCAATACGTCCCATTGGATATGAGTTACTGTACTGTATTAAATTAATAGCTATTACCACATAAACCTTTTCACTTCACTCCAGCAAACTTTCAATTTCACCCATGAAAATAAGAACAATTTCATAAAGACAGTACCAATATTATATTTTCCAAAACAATAGAACCAATACATAATTATTTTACATATATTAAAGTGCTAGCTAAGTGCACTAAAAGCATGGAATAAAAGTCTGAAGTATTTTTTCGAGTGTACGCGGTTATTTCAAAAAATGTTAATTCATATGAAATATAATAGCACTAAGAGTAATGAAAAAGACAAATATTAGAATGTAGTTATGTTATAGTTTTTATAAATATAATTTGTATACAGTAATGTTTATCTCTAAAACAGATAATGGACTACAATTAGAGTTCACTGAATAAAAATGTAAACGAAAAAATATGATAAGCTATAAAAAGTTTAAACTAACATGGTCAGGTTACAATAATGTCAGTTTATCAAAGAACAGAAGTCCTACTAGGACTTGGCACTACTCAACTTCGAAGTAGTTATATTCGTGGCAATGCTGGTATATCATAGGCACTGGATACCCATGCCGAAAATTTGTTTATCCCCTTTAAACAGACATGGAAAAAAACAAAAAGAAAGCAATAGAACATCTTCTTTGCAAATATTTCGGATAGGCAAGATTCACCATTTAACTATGGAAGGTTCATTATTTGTGCTCAAATGAAATTTCGTTTAAAAAGACACCTAAACTATTACTGAATGCACACGAGAGTTCTGTTGTTGTAGCTGTTGTGCTTCGAAATTTAAAAAAGAAGAAAATTTTAAGAGTATAAAGTTTTAGGATCTCAAATAACAAAAGCCAGTCGGGATCAAGGAACAACATGATATATACTAATGTCAAAAACCACTCCAGTTCTCTTAAGTTGACTATAGATGATGACGATTATAGACTATCAGATTATGATATTTTAGGAGTACAGGTAATGAAAGGCGGTCACGATTAAAAAATCACATGAGAGTATATCATTTCAAAGAACACGCTAGTTCTCTTAAGATGGCTATATAATAATAATGTATTATTATTATAATACTAAAATAAATTAATATATATATTTTAAGAGTAATTTAGTAAGTTTTATTACTTCAGCAATTGGCCAATAAGTCTGTTCAAAAATATATATAAAAACGTAATTAATATGCATGTAGTTATTGTGTATATTATATATTAGATATATTTTTATATCCTGTTCAGTTCAGTAACAGGTCACTCAATAGAAATTGTATAGGACTTAAGAATCTCTTTTATTTTTTGTTATGTAAATTGTTGAATAAATATAACAATTTATTATATATATATAATAAATATAATTTAATGTTTTTGAATATATTTGAATTTATAAAAATACGATCCTAGTAATATGTTTAAATCCGAAGAGATAGATTGTCGACTCTGCTTTGAAGCAGACGAGGAATGCAGTCACATTCTTTGTGACTGCTCATCTTTGATCTGGGTCAGAAGGAGGTCACTGGGTCGAAGACTACTCTCCCCTTCTGACATTAAGAGGTTCTTAAGGGCTAAATTCTAGCTTTTATTCGGAAGGCGGAATGTTTTCTGTTCGGTTAGGGTCTGTTGTAGCACAAAAGATCAAATATGCTCGCATTGCTCTGTTCCGTTGGGTGCTAATACCCTGTTTATTTCTATTCTATTCTATTCTAATATGTTTAAGTTAAATATAATCGATTATTTATCGTTTTATTTAAGTTTAATGTATAAAATATGAAGGCCATTATCAATAATATATGGTAGTTTGATTTTAATTTTTGTTTTTAAAAAACATACTCTTCAGTATAATTCCTTAGCTTGCATTTAATATATGTGTATAATTGTATACTAACATCTATAAGTGTAACTATCTATTGGTGGTTTGCCTACAGCTAGACTATGAGCTAGTGCTCATAGTTTTATTTAAGTTCAGGATTGCTATTTTAATTTTTGTAGTTTATTTGTACAGATAAAATCTACAATACATAACCAGATTAACAATGAGTATTAACATGATATTGTAACTGAAATCTTCCATTAATTATTAATTATAAATGGTTATGTTTTTTCTGAACTTACAAATTACTTATATGCACTGCTTTGAATAATAATATTTTATGACTAATTGAAAAAAGTTCCTCACGTATGACTACGCTTAAGATAAGCTTATTATTACTACACATATATTACTAATCATCCTGTAAGATATTACTAAACAACCATGTAAATTTGAGTTACTTGAAATGGTGCAATTTGCATTCAATTGCCATTACGAAATAATTAATTGTGTTACTAGCGCAATAAATTTAATTTGTAATATTGCTCAGTACTACCCAATGCTGCCCAACAGTATTGCCCAGTATTGCCCAGTATTGCCTAGTATTGCCTAGTATTGCATAGTATTGCTCGGTATTGCTTACATACTTGTAATGCTAATAAAAATGTAGATTAAGCAATACTAGATGTCACTTGATAAGTCTAACTTCATTAAAAATGTACTCGTATCGCAATGAATTCTTGAACTACTAATCGCTCCATCTGTGATTGTCCGAATCGTCTGTTTCGTCTGATTCGTTTGTTTCGTCTGATTCGTCTGATTTGTCTGATTTGCCTGACTCGTTTGATTTGTTTGATTTGTCAGATGTGTCTGAGACGCTTTTGGGAAGATGTGAAGGAAATTATTAATATTTATTTGCGTTTATTGGCGTTTATTTGCGTCGCAAATGTTATTACTTTGCATAAAATTTTTAATTCCTTCACTTTTAATCGCTAAATAAGCGATTTGGCATAGCAAGTAACGAGTGGCGAGTGACGAGAAACGAGTGTCCAAACACACTATGTGCGCATGTGTATGACTTACCAATTAGTATTGTAGTGCACAATTCAACATCCGCTACACGTTTAAGTGATGGTTGATTTAATTTTGTGAGTTGCGTACTCGTCGTTATGTCCGACTGCGTACAATGGTTGTGGCGGCGCGTATCTATGGATGTGCAGGCTTATATGTAATTATGTTGTTCTGCTATTATTACACTTTATTAAATATGAAACACAATATATATATATGCATTACATATGCACGCGAAATACGTTTTATATAGTTAGGAAAAGAAAATAAAAAAAAAAAAATAATTTTGCTTAGATATTATTTCAAATATATTTAACACTTATTTATGTGCGATTGCTGGTATATCTCCTTGCTTATAGTATCTTTATCTTTATGTGTACAAAAGTATCTGACCATTTGAAGTTATAAGTTATGTTATGTGTACGCGAACGTCTATGTTCATATTTTGTGTGATTATGATATGTTATGTTATCGTATGGTTTGGTATGGTCTGGTCTGGTATGGTGTGGTGTGGTGTGGTGTGGTGTGGTGCGGTATGATGTTATAGTAAATCTAAAGTAAAATGTTAAGTAATCCAAATAGCTGTGATGATGAGGGCTAAGTTTTTTCTTTCTCGCTATTTTCTGTTTGGCCAAATCGAGGCATATTTCTTGCGTTAAATAGCATTTAATTGTTTCAACAAATAAATTTCGTTTTGTTCAATGACCTGCTGCTGTCAGGGACATTATGTGTGAAATATTTATCAAATAGTTTTATTAATGAAATTAGTCAAGCGATTTTTGTAGCTTAATTTTGTTTTGATAACAAATTAATAATGTTCAATAATTTGCTTGTAACAATTTTTGCTTTGCTGGTTAATATTAATTTGATATATTTTGTGAATTTTATATGAATTTCGGATATTTGTGAACGATTAGTGCCTTAGGTAAAAATATGTTATGATATTCAGTATTAAAAGTATTAAAAGTATTCATTGATATGGCACGAGGCTAACAAACATTGAAATATAAGTGACACAATATGTTTTTTTTTTGGGATTTATGTGCTTTTTATTAAATAATAAATTTTTAATTGAAAATTTGATAATTTTTTAATTATGCATAACAAATTTACGAATAAAATGTTTAATTAAATAATAAAAAAGGGACGCATGCGCTCATAGAAATGCACTCTACTCAATGATTAATTTAATTTCATTTGTTAATTACGAATAGTTAATTTTTGGCATTGAATATTTTGAAAAAAAAAGTATCCGGAGGAGACACTCGTCTATATTAATTAATTTAAAATTTAAAATGATTTTTGTCTATATTTTAGTAAAAAAAAAACACAAAAAAAATGATTAGTAGTCGTCTACTCCATGAATGCTTTGATTGTATTTATCAATTCGTAGTGGACAATTTTTTTTGAAATTTTTTTTTAAATTGAAAACTTTTAAAGAAAATAACTCGGATAGTTTCTTGGTAAAATTTGCTACTGTTAGACAATTTCATTAATTCTTTAAATTTAAGAAATAAGGATATTAAGAATATTTAACTTTTTTAATTATTAGACAACTTAAGAAAAAAATGAATCCGAATCTATTGAATACTTCAGTTAATAGAATGTTTATAAAGTCAAACTATTTCACTTCTTCTCGGCTATAACATGTTAATAAGGCAAAATGCTACAACATAAGTTCTTGAGAAAAGAATAAGATATTGATTATAGAATACAGCATATGGTATCTTAACAGTATTTCACTTCTTCTCGGATATAACACATTAATAAGGCAAATTGCTACAACATAAGTTCTTGAGAAAAGTTGACTATAGAATAAGATGTTGATTATAGATTACAGAATGTGGTATCTTAAGAGTACAGGTAATAATTGACGGTCACGATTGAAAAACCGCATAAGAATATATCTTTCAAAGAACAAGCTAGTTATCTTAAGTTGGCTTTAGACTATAGTCACTGTGAGAAAAAAAATAAATCAGAATTCATTTAAAACCTCAGTGAATAGAACGTTAATCCAGCCAAACTGTTTCAATTTTTTCCTGAGGCAAATTACTTTAACTCTACATGTAGTATCTTAACAGAAATTTTTTAAGTTTTTTGATTTAAAAATTTTTTAAAACTATCTAGTGTTTAAATATGCTTCAGCCCTTTTGTTTGTGACCATTGAGTTTACACGTAAAATTTCAAAACTCTGATATATTTGACAAATAAACGCAAGTTTTGACTTTAAATTTTTTTTAATTTTTGTTTTGATATATGAACACGTATGGAAATGTACTTTTAAGGTACATATTCGATTTTTGACGATTTCACTTTTTTAAAACTAAAAAAAATTTTTTTTTTTTTATGAAGTCTTTGTTTACTTTAATGTGGCAATAAACCAAATTAAGTTTTAAATTAACTTCTTTCTTAAAATTAATTTCAAGACTCTTTAGAAAAATAATTTTAAAATTTTTAAGTCATAAAAATTAATAAATTTTGTTTTAGTAAATTTTTTATATTGCATATAAAAAAAAATTTATATTATTTGTGTCATTTTATTTGTTATTAAAAATATTATTCACTACTCTGTTTTCAATAATAAAACTATTGAATTTCTTATTAAAATCACTTTATTTAACAAAATCTTCTTTCTCTTTAATAGGTCATTTCTCTTAACAATGCACTTTTATATAAAATTTTACTACTACTGCTTAATTATTTACTTTTTATATTTCTTAATTTCTTAATTTTTTAATTTTTTAAATTAAATGAAATAAAAACGTCCGTTTCAAATTGCGGAAATCAAAATCTTTTGACAGACCAGCACAAAACGTTCAATGCGCCCCGACGTACGTACAAAATATATCTACGATAAGCGTTGGCCAGCAAGTCCAACCGAACTCTAATGATTTGGGAACAAGTTGTAAGTAAAATTGTAAATGGCTGCGCCAGCGCATATTTAATGAAATTGAAATTCATTTTTTCATTCCCCAATATACCAACCAAATAAACGGCGTATATAAATGAAAAATACAAAAAAAAAAAATTAAAGTAGTAATAATAAATAAATAAATATTAAAAAGTGAAAAACTACAGCCGGTCGTTTTGATATAATGTGTTGCATACACTCTTTTACTTCAGGAGAGTTTTTAAGATCAGTCACTAATGCTTCTTTACAGGCCCACGGTTGCTTAGGGCAATGTATCACTTAATGACAGTAGTAAAAACCTTTCCTTACCGACCATATAGTCACATAAATAAAGTCACAATTATTATTTGTGAATTAATTACTAATTATATTAATTTATATATATAGAAATTGTCATTAAGAAATACATATCAAACATACATACTCTAAAGGTTAGAAGTTGAATTGTATATATTAGCATTATTAAATTCATACATTTATCATTTATTTATTATTTGCTTACATAATAATTAATTATAATTTAATTTCTTAATTCATATAATTTTATTAATATATACAGAAATTACCATATATAAATAAATACCATTGATATATGCACTATAGACAGTCTCTGTATTTATTACCATTATTAAATTTATATTTTAATAACTGTTTTTTTTATGTTTTATTTAATTTAATGTTTCTCTTATTTATTAATTAATTTAGTTTTAATTTATATATGCAGATTTTTTCATTAATAAATAAATGTCACTCAAATAGTATACATACTCTAAAGTTGAGACGTTTAATTGTATATATTTGTATTAATAAATTCATAGATATATTATTACTTACATATAATCATTGTCAACTACTATATAATTACAATAATTATTGTCAACTTTATTTATATATACAGCAATTATCGTATACAAATAAATACCATAGTTAAATGCACTTCAGATGTCATTTGTATATATTTGCATTATTAAATTCATACATTTATCATTTATTTATTTTCCTTTCACTTATTAAATAATCTAATTTCTACTTATATATACGGAAATTGTCATAAATAAATAAATGTCATTCATATATTACATGAATTCTACATGTGCAGTTTTAATAATATGTATTAATTTATAAATAAGAAGTTATAAATTATTAAGATTTCCATTTTTAGATCTAAGATTATATAAACTATACAAATACATATATGTTTATATATAGATAAACTATACATATGTATATATCTTAAACTTAAATTAGAATATATATAACTTAAACTTGAGATAAGATATTTTAAAATATTTAACCATACATTAATTATGTTTTAACATTGTTTTTATTTTGTTTTTATTTCTTTGTTTTTCTCCTTCTTGATTTATATATTAATAAATGCGGAAATTTTATGGACTTATAAATTTAATTATTAATTACCTTGTCATAGGCATTGTTAAATTTATTTCATGTATTATAAATTATATTGTAGATCTATTAATTAAATTATATTTCATATAGGGCTTACGCATTTTATTAAATACGTACCTTATTCATATATACAAGCAGTTAATAACAACTAATTATTTTTATTAATCATATTTCTATATATATATAATTAATTGCTAGCATATTATATATGTGGAATTTAAAAATCAGAATTTAAAAAAAAAATTTAAACAATTATATGTAAATAAATTAAGCACATAAAAATAAATTTATAAAAATTTTAATAAATAAAATAATTTAAATATATAATTAAGTAAATACACGAATAATTAGTAAATAAATATGTCCTAATATGATAAAATAAACAAACAAAAAAAAATTAGCACATAAATAAATAAATAAACTATTACATGAATAAATAATTTGTGTAAAAAAATAATAGTGCTTAAATAAATAACTAAAAAATAAACAATAAAATAAATAAGTAAATAATTAACTGAAAAAAAAAATATGTTAAGAAATAATAGCATTTATAATAAATATCTCAGTAAAAGATTAAATAAATAAGTACTACATACAAATAAATAAATATGCATACATATAAATTAATAGCAATAAAATAATGATCACTAAAGAAAATAAATAAATATAAAATAAATAAATATAAAATAAATAAATAAAAAAATAATACATAAATAAATATGTAAATAAAAATTTCAATGAAAAAATAGACAATAAAATTAAAATATGGTTAAATAAAATAAGTACGATGTAAATGAATGCATAAAAAATGTTATAACTAAGTAAAAAAATAAATACATAAGAATATATATCAGTAAATAAATAAAACAATTAATAAAAAAATAAATAAACAAATAAATGAAAAATAAATAAATAAATAAAAATGTTAA